TGGAAGTCTGACAACTACAAAATTAAAGAAACTACATCTATCCAGACTAGTAGGAGGGGCACAGATGTGGAACAGGCTGGTCCCACACCCACATGTCGTGGATAAAGATTTGGAAGGAGTACCTCTGGAGTGAGGTGTCCCAGCCCCAGCACAGGGTACCAGTGCCAGGAAGATAAGTCCCCACAACTTCTGGCTACAAACACCAGTGAGGATTGAGTCAGTGGAAGAAACTTCTGGAGGCCCAAACAGTTCTTCTTAAAGAACCCACACATGGATTCATCTTCTCAGATTCACTCTCTCTGAGTTCCAGCACTGGGGTAGCAGCTTGAAAGGCACCAGTGGCATAAAGGGAAGAGCTAAAGTGTCTGGCATCAAAGTGAGCAGAGGCCACTGTCCCTTTTCTAAACCCTCCCCCTACAGAGCTGGCAAACTGGTGCCATATCTGAGACTCCATCAACCTGGCTAACACCATTTCACCCACCTGGAAAATCCCTAGAGACTCTGTGCCACCCAACTTACAGCCCACCCAAGCAGCATCTCCATATGAATGGCTGGTCTTGGCTCATGCTTCACATCTTCCTATTTTGTCAAACAATAGCTGGCCCCAGTGAGCCCCAGGCCTGGCAGTAGCAGCAGCCAGCCTAGATTCACAGCTTGGCTTCACCTGGAAATCTCCAAGCCCAGCACAAGTAGCAGCCATCTCAAATTTCTTATTCCTGAGGCAGGGTGGCCACAGGCAAAAATAGATGGGGGCTGACCTTGGCCTGCACCACCCAGGAAACCCCAGGGTCAGCACACCTAGTGGACAGACACACCAAGTCAGAGTACCACCACCCTGTCCCTGCACGACTGATCCTACACAGAGGGCGAGGTTGGTGGTAAGTGGTCATAGCCAATCCTTGCAGCTGATTGGCCTGGGTAAATCCCTCCCACTGACCTGCCAATGACAACCAAGGCTCAACTACAATAGGAGGGTGTACTCAGCCCACACATAGGGTGCACCTTGAGTACCCAGCTTGGGTGACAGGAGAGGCTGTGCCACTGGGTCCTACAGGACACCTACGACTTTAGGCCACTCTACCAAGACACAGAGTAAAAACAGTTCTACCTAATACATAAAAACAAACACAGGGAGGATGTCAAAATAAAGAGACAAAGAAACATGACCCAAATGAAAGAACAGGTCAAAATTCCAGAAAAAGAACTAAACAAGATGGAGATAAACAATCTATCAGATGCAGAGTTCAAAACACTGGTTATAAGGATGCTCAAGGAATTTAGTGAGGACTTCAACAGCATAAAAAAGACCCAGTCAGAAACGAAGGATGGACTAACTTAAATAAAGAACAATTTACAGGGAAACAACAGTAGAGTGGATGAAGCCAATAATGAAATCAATGATTTGGAACATAAGGAAGCAAAAAACAACCAATCAGAACAACAAGAAGAAAAAAAGAACCCCCCAAAATGAGGAAAGTATAAGCAGCCTCTGGGACAACTTCAAGAGGCCCAACATTCACATCATAGGGGTGCCAGAAGAAGAGAAAGAGCAAGAAATCGGATCTCTAAAAAATAATGAAAGAAAAAATTCCCTAATTTGGTGAAGGAAACAGACATGTAAGGTCAGGAAACACAGAGAGTCCCAAACAAGATAGATGCAAAGAGGTCCAATCCAGGACACATCATAATTAAAATGCTAAAGGTTAAAGATAAAGAGAGAATCTTAAAAGCAGCAAGAGGAAACAGCTAGTTATCTACAGGGGAATTCCCTTGAGACTGTCAGCTGATTTTTTTCAAAAGAAACTTTACTGACTAGAAGGGATTGGCAAGAAACATTCAAAGTTATGAAAAATGGGGACCTACAGCCAAGACTACTCTACCCTGCAAAGTTATCATTTCTACTGAAGGGCATATAAAGAGCTTCCCAGACAAGAAAAACATGAAGGAGTTCATTATCACCAAACCATTATTATATGAGATGTTAAAGGGACTTATTTAAGAAAAAGATCAAAACGATGAACAATAAAATGGCCAAAAAAATACATATCTATCAACAATTGTATCTAAAACACAAGCTAAGCACACAAGAAGAATAGAGGCAGAATCATGGATACAAAGAGTGTTTTGATGGTTGCCAAATAGGAGAGGGATGTGGGGGAATGGGTGAGGAGGTGAGGGGATTAAGAAATACAAATAGGTAGTTACAGAACAGCCATGAGGACGTAGAGTACAGTATGGGAAACGGAGTAGCCAAAGAACTTACACACATGACCCATGGACACGAATAAAGGTGGGGGATTGTCTGAGGGAGTGGGAGGTGCTGGTGGAGGGAGGCAAAGGGGGAAAAATTGGGACAACTGTTATAGCATAATCAATAAAATATAATTTATAAAAAGAAGATATGGCATATATACTGTATATACTGTACAATGGAATAGTATTCATGAGAAAGAAGGAAGTCCTGCCATTTGTGACAACATGGCTGAACCCTGAGGGCGTAATGCTACGTGAAATAAGCCAGATAGAGAAAGACAAATACTACACGGTATCACTTATATATGGAGTCTTAAGGACTGGGGAGAGGGACACAGGAAATGTTGGTCAAAGGGTACAAACTTTTAAAGGTCTGAGGTTCTAATGTATAACACGATGATTATGGTTGGTAACATTGTATTATGTAACTGAAGTCTGCTAAGACAGAACTTTGTGTTCTCACCGAAGAAGAAGAAGAAGAAGAAGAAGAAGAAGAAGGAGGAGGAGGAGGAGGAGGAGGAGGAGGAGGAGGAGGAGAAGAGGAGGAGGAGGAAGAAGAAGAGTAGCGGGGTGGGTGGCAGGGGCGGAAACAACATGTGAGGTGATGAATGTGTTAATTAACTAGATAGGGGGATCCTTCACAATATATATATATCAAATCACCACAAAGTATGCTTTAAATAGCTTACAATTTAATTTGTCAGTTATACGTCCATAAAGCTAGAATTTTTAAATAAATAAATTTTAAATAAAATAAATGAAGAGGGTCAAAGCTGGGGTCCAGAGTTTGGCAACCATCCACCACACACATGGTCTGAACCCTGGAAGTGACAGAGGGAAAGGGAACCCAAGCTGGCAAACAATGCCAGGAGTGAGGGCCACAGTTTGAACGGCTAAGAGGTCTCAGGAGAAGGGAAAGACAAGTGCAGAAGGAGAGCAAGAGAAGAGACATTCAGGATGAACTCCGCAGAGAGAAAGAGCTCTGTGACAACCCCTGCCACAGCCAGCTGAGAGAAAGGACGGGAGGCCCGGGAGCTGCCGGGGCCAAGTCAGGCAAGGCCAGCCTCCCGCTCGTAACCAGTGGCAGCATGGGCCTCGTGGGCCAGCGCACAGACCACGGGGTACAGGGAGGTCAGGGTGGATGCACTTCACTTGTACCTTCAGCAGTCAAAGAAAGAAAAGAAAAGCACCCACTGCGTGCACCTGACACCGCGTTTTAGGCAGCCCAACTCTAGCCCAGTGTGGTGGAGACCAGCAGAAGGGGCCATCACTGGGTCACTGTGGAGAGGCCTCCAGGCCAGGAGGAGGAAGAAACGGGAAGTGACCAGAGAGACCATTTAAACATTAAAAATTAGAGTTCATCTAAACTAAAAATTAGAGTTCATCTTAAAGACAAAAACAGGAAGGCAGGATCGGGCAACAATTTGTGGCGCTGCCTGGAGACCACTGGGCTTATCAAAAGGTCTGGAAGTCATGACAGAGGTGACGAGAACTGACCGACCCCTCAGCATGCAGGAGGCCCCCGGCGCCACCTCCCCCCCAGCCCCTGCCCCCCAGTCTCGCCAGCACCACTTGCTGCCTCTCCCTCCACGAGGTGCTTCAGGGAAGAGCCGGCAGCCCTGCGGCCCAGGCCGGGCTCACCGTGGTTTGTCAGGGCTGTGGGGTTTTTTTTAATGTTTGTCATATTTTCTAAATATTCTATATTTAACTTTTTTACAAAAGTTTTACGTATTTATTTTCAGAGAGTGGGGAAGGGAGAGAGAAAAAGAGGGAGAGAAACACTGATCGGCCACAACCAGGGGCCAAGCCTGCAACCTGGGCATGTGTCTGAAAATTGAACTGGCGACCTTTTGGTTCACAGGTCGGCACTCAGGCCACTGAGCCATACCAGCCGTTTTTCAGGTTTTTAGTGGCAAAACTAAGAGGGTTCAAAAACCTCCCAACTCAAAATTCAAAAACCTAATGACCGACCCTTCAAAAATCTAACAAGCGTTTATGGTTGTTTTAGGTACTTACAGAAAGCAAAGCTAGGAAAAAACATAAATGATCAGAAAGTAGATTCAGGGCTCAAAGTTAAGAAAGTGTTTCTAAATGCAGACCTTTCCAATCATGGAACTGATTGTTCCAGGAGGTGGTGAACTTCCCACCACCAGAGGTAGACAAGCAAAGGCAAAAGGACCCTTTGCTAAGGAGCTACAGAAGAGATTTCTTAGAAAATCTCTATGATCCTGTCCAACCCACAGGATGAAATATACGGTAGAACAATTACAGGCACATTTGGCAAATCATAAAGCAGCAGAATTAGCCACAGCCCTTAAAACATGAAAGAAGTATATTTATAATAAAGAGTATCACATTACACACAGTTAATAAGCTTATAGACCTTATTACTCTGAGCTGAAGGTAGAAACAGGCCCAAGAAGGGCAGATCACCAAAGGCAGCGAGAGGCGCGGAGGAATGGTCCTCCCTGCAAAGTCGGGCCCACCCCCAGACCCCGGCACGGTCCGCAGCAGCAGGCAGAAATCACTGACCTTCAGATTCCGTCAGGTGCTTGCCATGGAGAAATGCCCTACACTGCACCTTCCTGCAGAAAAGGCCTGACCTTTGTTACCCTGAGCAATTCCTCCCCAGTGAGGAACATGGGGGTCACGGGAAAGTTCACGCCCCACTGACCAAGCACAGCCCCCCCGCCCAGGGTGAGGGATGAGAGCACACAGAGAGCTTTCTGGCCACGGGCATCACTCACAGCCTCGACAGAGCCTGGTTGTTCTGGAACAGCAGTTCTGGGAGCGTGTGCAGCTGGTTCCGGTTCAGTCGTCTACAAAAGAGAAGAGAGGGAGAGTTGGAAATTGCCTAGGAAATCCAGGAAATCCAAAGGACCCTCAGAAAGCACTGGATTCAGAGTCTGAGAGTTCAGGATTCAAATCCGAACAGGGTCATTGTGTAACTCCAAGGAAATCACCGTCTTTGGGGCTCAGTTTCTTCATCTATAAAACAGGAGGTCTGCCACCCAACACTTGGGGAGGATAAGAGCAAAATAATTATGAAAGTCCCTCCCCAAGGACCACCATGGACTGGGCCATCGATGAGCACAGCATCTTTCCTTCCATTATTTCCTTCCATACTCGTCATCATCTTCACTTACATTTACAAGACTCTGTGTGACTTATAAGGCACTGATTCAAAGGCTATCTCAGCTCGTGAATTGGATCTCCGACGACACTTGAAATGTGAGATCTATCCTAATGGAGTAGGACTGGCCACATGCTTTTGATTCTTTATTGCTTTCATCCACATTTGGCTCAGTGGCAAGTTTTGTTGTTTGCTTTAGGTTGTTTGTCAAAACAAAAATAGATTTATTGATTTTTTTAAATTATTTATGGAAATGCAGTCTTAATTTTTTTTTTAGGCCTCAAATAATAGAAGAAAAACTATTCTGCCACCTGCATTTTTCTGACTCAAAAATTTGTGGATGTCTTTCCATGTGAAATAACAGACAACTCCCTTTATTTTTAATGACCAAATAGCATGTTCATCATTTTTAATTCCTCTGCTGGTGGACAGACAACCTTTCGGGGTTACAAACACAGGCAGAAGCGGGAAGTCTGGTGCTGGAATGTGGCCTGATGAGAAGATATAATGCAGAAAGAGCCTGGACTTATCCTAGGAAAGCAGCAAAGTTTACCCAGACTTAGGCAACCAATGCTCTATTTTTTTTCCTAATTTTTTTTCAATTGCAGTTGACATACAATATTATAGTCATTTCAGGTATGTAACATAGTGATTAGACATTTATGTAACTTACAAAGATGATTACTCCAATAAGTCTAGTCATTACATTCATACATATTCATCACAATATTAACGACTATATTCCCTATGCTGTACTTTACATCCCCATGAATACTAGGTAACTAATTCTCTGACACTAGAGTGCAGGATTCCAGCGCATTAGGGGGTGTGACTCCTATGAACTATAAAATGTTGGTACTCACACAGTGGTCCGTGGACCACCTTCAGGGCATCACCTAAGAACTGGTAAGAGCCTCCATATCCTAGGCTCTAGCCCAGGCCTGTTGAGTCGGTCTGCATTTCAGCAAGATCCCCAGGTGACCCGTGTACTAGTCCAGGTTGGAGAAGCACCAGTGGAGTCTGAGCTTCACACAACCTCTCCTTTAACAGTTCTAGGCAATGATCAACCCGCTCGGCAAGAGCTTTCTTTTGCTGGGAGGGAGGAAGGAATGTAATTCTATGTGGCTGGCAGTGACTGTCTGTGGTTACTTTACCTCCTAGGAGGTCGCCCTTCATCTGCTGTGTAAGAAAGGTACCACTTCCCTGCACGGTACAACTAGTCAGCTGGAAGAAGCGTTATCTAAAGGACCAGCTCCTAGGGAAACACATCACTGCCTTAGGGGAAAAAAAAAAAAAGGAACCACCAATAAAATCGTTAAAGCAACAGAAGGATACATCACATGGCTCCAAGCTCTTTAACCTTGTCCAATAAATTAATCCTGTATTTACACTGCCTGGTGATCATTGGTTTTTCCTTTGTTTTGTTTTCCCCCAAGATGGTTTTGTTTTTCTGGCTCCGATTTCTGAAAAACACTTAAAAGGAAAAGGGACCCAATAGCTAGTTAAAGTGGGAAATCGAAGGGCACGGAAGAAGGGCCCCAGCACGATGAGGGCCTGCAGGTAGCTAAGGATGATACTGCAGCAGTGGAGGCTGCCAGTCCCTGGTGCCTCTCACTATGCGCCAGGCACCAGGAGGAATGTTCTGTAGGCATCACCTCACTGTCGAGGGAAAGCAGGGTAAATCAGTGGGTCCCTTTCTCTTGAGTGTGAGGAGGCCTTACCCATGCACACACCCTCCCACCTGCTCCTGGCAGCAACCCCCAGGGAGGCTTCACCACCACCATCTCGCCACACAGCTTGGCTCTTACTAGATGCTCAGGATACATTGCACCGTCTCTTTGATAGCTGAGGGGATTAGGACGTCCTGAAGTGAGCGACTCCCTCAAGCGACCTCTGAGTGGGGGCGGTGGGGTTCTGAAGCCTGCCTTCCCCCAGCTCCCCATCCTGCCTGCCTCCGCCTTACACACCCGACCCCACTCAGTCAGCTGGCGACTGAGCGCTCCACCTCCCCCCAACATCAGACCGACCGGCGCCAAAGGCACGGCGATCCTTGCGGCCCCAGAACCCACCCTGCACACTGCCGCTCTGCGCTCAAGTGTGTAACTGCTTACAAGAACCAGTTACGTCTGTTCCAAACCTGTTTAGCCAGAGGTACTTACAATTATAATTATATAATTTAATTAACTGTTACATAAACAAACAAAATGCCAGTGTGAAAAGAGAGAGTTGTCTCCATGAAAACTAGGCTGAATGCTTTGGGAAGGGGCAATAAAAGGAAAGTTGCTAATTAAAGGGCTGTGGGGTTATGTAAAAGACGGGGCGGAGTGTGCGCAGGCGCGGGCACGGAGGCAGGAGGACCATAAAAGAAATGCAACCACTCAGATGTCTTCCAAGGGCCCTTCAAAAACCTCACTCCATCTTAACAAAGCCAAAACCCAAAATCATAAACAAAGTATGCGTGTATGGTTTAGCTGAGGAAAACAATACAGAACTCCAATCAGCATCTCACAATAAAAAGAAAGGTCTTGGCAAAGAAAAGGGGCAGGGGTTGAGGGGCGCGGGGGGAGGGGAGGTCAATAAATGTTCACTTGTGTGTTTTACCTTAAAATAAAACGTTTAGAGTATGTATGGTGTTTGCGACTCCCCACGTTACCCAACTCTTACGATTAACTGATTCACCACCGGCCTCTGACAAGTCAGAGGAGAAGCTGCCGGTCATTGGCAGCCAGCGCAGGACAGACCCAGGGACAGAGCAGTCGCAAAGAAAGGAACTGGAAGAGGACAGAAGGGACAAAGTCTACAATGGTAAGTCGTAACTCTAAAAGGAGGGCCCTGCCCAGCCTTGGGTGGCAGAAGCAGGCGCGATGTGGGCCACCGGGTCGTACCTGAACCCCAACCCCCACCTTCTCTCCTCCTCCAGGGCTTAGCAGTCCCAGAGCTGAAGCTGGAATTGGGGGAGGCCCAACGAGCCCCTCAGAGCCAGGACACGAATCTAGTATATTTTGTCACGAGCCTTTTAAAGAACACAACCCCAGGACTAAACGTTCTCATCACTCAGTTTTAGGCCAGATAAGGAAGGTCAAAGAATGATCACCTTGACTTTCCTCCAGGCCACAGGAAGGCAATGAGACAACCATATTCTTTCCCTTGTATTTAATGCTTTATTTTCTTTGATGCAAAAGAGAAAAGTGTGGTATTAGGACATAGCCATTAAGAGCTCAGGCTTTGGAGGCAAAATGGTCCGGGTTCTAATCCCCTCTCCTGCACATAATCACTTAATAATCACTTAATAAGGCAAGTGCCTTAACTTCTGGGCACCTCTTTCCCATCTGTAAGATACCACTGACCCACTGTTGTTTCAAGGATTAAATGAGATATTGGGGGTGAAAGGGAGCGTTGGGTAAAGAGCTTATCTCAGTGCTTGGCATACAGTAAGGCAATCAGTAGCAGCTGTAATTATAAACTCATTTTAAGAAAATCCATAAAAAAATAAAAGCACACAGAACAAAATTAAAGTTACATGTTATTCCACCATTCAATGCAATGAGAGTTAATATTTCCAATTATTTTCCTCCTCCTGTATTCTGTACACACACTAAGTTGATTTTATTTATACAAATGTCACCCCCTGCCTCTTCCACTTAACATTATATTGTGTGTATATTCCCATGGCCTTAATTGTTCTTCCAAAGTGTGATTTTATTGCTTATGTCTCCCCCAGAATGACTGTTCCCGATTTTTATTGTATTTAAATAATGTGCAATGAATATCCTGATAAATACATTTTTTAGCCATGTCACTGATTATTTCTGGTTCAAAAGGCATGAAATTTAGAATTCTTGACACTTACATCCAAAGCTTTGCAGAAAAATGAGGTCGGCGGCCACTCTGGATGCGAGTGCCCATCCCCCGCCTCACCCACACCACGTGCCTTTTTTTCCCCACTATTGCCCATCTGGAATGCAAAAGTGGATCAAGACACATTTGCAAGCTAGAAAGCCCTGTAAGGAACAAACCACGCAAATCGGAGACGCCTCCACCTTCCAGGCTCTGTGCTACGGGCCTGAGCACTCACAACATGGCTCCCCAGGTGGCCCTGAGGGCTTCCCTGGTGGCCCCCTCTATGCACCAATACTTCCTAAAGGCCACATGAATCAACAAATGATGGTTACGCCTGCAGTGTGAGATTATAGGAAGAAATCTCACTTCCTCTGTACTGTGTGGATTTTTTTGCCGTAATGAATTTTCAGGGCAAAAAAATTAAAAATAGCTGCCTTTAGAACGTGGGGTGAGGACAGTCTCCAGCCTTCTCTCTGCCGTGACCTCATGAGGGTGCCGCAATCAGTTCCACGGCTGCAGCTGCCCCTGGCTCCGACCTGTCCCTGAGCCACCATCCCCCACCCCCGCCCTTGCCGCCAGGCTGAGCCTGCTCGTGTCCCCACAGGGCCAGCCCCCGCCACCCTCCTGAGCCTGCACCACTGTACTTACAGCCTCTCCAGCTCCTTCATGTCATCAAAAGCCCCCCGTTCGACCACTCCAATCTGGTTCTCCATCAGCTGCCTGGGGAAGCAAAGAGACAAAGACAGCTACAGGCTGTTGGACAAGGACTCCTAGAAACAGCTGGCACAAGGGAGTGAAACGGGAGCCATGCCCGAGACGCATACAGACCCGAGTCCTGGCCCGAGCTCACAAAATCTCCTCACGACATTGCAGATTTCCAACAGGGGCTCCTCGGCCCCCCAGCCCTGACAGCAAGATGTGCTTCTGGCTCCAGCCCCATGCCTATCCCTCTGAAGCCAGCTGCATGGCAGAAGGCCACAGGACACCAGAGCACCAGGTCATCGCTCCAAGGCACGCTCTGGGAAGCCAGGACCCAGGCAGCAGGGACTGACTTTGGGCTGCTGGCGCATGCGTCCTTCTTTGGCCCAGAGGGCGAATTTCCAAGGGGCAAAGCAGACAGAATGGGCCAGTGGCAGGGGGGAGGGGAGCCTGTGCCAGCTGGGCAGAGCCCACACATGCAGCACACCCTGCAGTTGGCAGACGACGCCCCCTCCGTCTGTACCCCCAGTCCGCCTGGCCCCATCTGCCGCCAGCTGAACCACCTGGCTCCGTGGGGCTGGGTACCTCCTCATCGCCAGTGCGCCCTGACACCCCGGGCGTCCAGCTGGCGGGCAGCAGCCTTCACCACTGATCGCCTGTTGCATGGTAATTTTTAAGACTGTCAAGCATGTTTTCTCCCCATACTTTTCCTTCTCCGCGCTCAAGCAGGTGGCTTATGTGCTCCCGCATGGACCTCAGACGAGGCTGGAGACAGGCCAGGGGGCAGAAGCTGCCACCACGCACTTCTCCACTTTGTTTCCAAAGGCCTGTTCTACTGAGGAGCTCGCACTGTAGACCTGGGTGGGAAGAGGGGGCATGCAAAGAGGGATGGAGGGAGGCCTTCCTCGGGCTCAGAAGAGATGCCTGGAGCCTGGAGTGGGGTCAAAGATCTGTGGGTTCTGGAGCAGCAGAGATCCCTGCAGAGCGACTGATAGCTGTGACCCCAGAGAGGATGGGGCCACAAGGTCCCCAGCTTCCCCAAAGACCTGGAAATGCAAAGCCAGTAGTTCTGAAAGGACTGAGGCCCCAGAGCCCTTGCACTACCCTGGGAATAGGGGGTGAGGGACCCGCGGCTGCCTGATGTTGAATGCATCAGATGCATGCATGGCAGGCTGCTTCTGCATCAAGATCAGCAGAGAAGGAAAGATGAAGGGCATGTGAATATTCAGCCTCCCCTCGCTCCTCAGCCCTGCCCAGCATGACACAGGAGGTGCAGCTGATGGCTCCTTTCCCCATAGGGTCACGCCCACCACCTTCAGTATCTGCCACTGTCAGGCAGCCCAGGGAAGTCACCTCTGTTCTCAGCTGCTCCCACTCACCTACCCTTTCAAGCCAGGATAGCCCCTTGCTGGAGAGTCTTCTGGCCACAGGTTCTAAAGAACTATGGAGGCAGTTATAGGCTGAATTGTGTCCCCCTAAATGTTAATGCACTGAAGCACTAATCCCAAATGTGACTGTATTTGGAAATAGGGCCCTTAGGGAGGTAATTAAGGTTAAATGAGGTCATATGGATGGGGCCCTGATCTGACAGAACTGGTGTCCGTATAAGAAGAGACCAGAGATCTCTCCCTGTGCACTCACAGAGAAAAGACCACATGCGGACACAGCAAGCAGGTGGCCAGGAAGGGAGGCCCCACCACAAACCAACCCTAATGGCACCTTGATCTTAGACTTCTAGGCTCCGGGACTGTGAGAAGATAAATTTCTGTAGTATTCCGTTACAGCAGACTGAGCAAACTAAGACAGACACCTAAAGATTCCTCATGGTCACTTGGTCGTCTGTCACACCAGGAGACAACCAGTGGACAAGACGGCCCCATGCGCCCAGCCCAGGTCCTGCCAGGCAGCACCACGGGTGCCTACGCCTCCCCCAATTCTTAGCCACGCTGGAGGCGGTGGCCACTCTGGGTCAGGCCTCACGATCGTTCCCACCCCACACCCCACCCCCCAGCCAGGGCGTCCCGAGACTGACTCCACAACCTGTCTACCGCCCTACAGCCCTACAACCCAGAGCCAGAGCTCTGCCTAGGACCCACAAGGCCATCGCCAAGGGTGGGAGCAGGAGGGAGGTTATGAGCAGGAGCAGCATCCCATACTCACAGCACCCGCAGCTGCTTGAGCCCCGCAAAGTCATTCTTATGGATCCGAGTGATGTTGTTGCCATTGAGCTCCCTGGTGGAAGAAAGGAGAGAAGGAAATGGTGAGATGTGCAGGGTGGGCCCCAGGCCAGGGGCTCACCTCTCGGCCCCCCTCTCCACCTGGCTCAAGCCTGTCATCTGACCAACAGGGCTCAGTGCTTCCCTCACAGTCCCCGGGACCCCCGCGTCTGTGTGGAGATGCAGCACGCTGGGGCCTGTTTGCAGATGTCCCACCAGCAAGAAGACACAGGGCTCACATAGTTGGCCCTGAGTGAACTCAGTCTAGTTGGAGAGGCGAGACATTTATGCAGGAAAGAATTTGGAAACCAGCCAATTAGAGGCTATTTAGGTGAAATCCTTGCTGAGCTTCAGTTTCCTCGTCTATGAAATAGGGATAGTAACCATGTCTACCTCACAGGGTTCGCAGGAGGCACAGACAAGGAAAGGGCATGGCCTGCGGTTGTTAAGGCCCCCTTGCAGGCGCTGCTGTTATCATCTGGTGGCACAGGTTCCTCCCAGCTGTCCATACTCTGAACAGGAGAGAGCACAGTGGGCCATGCCATTCACAGAAACTGAGGAAGTGGGACTCAAGCTGAGACCTAAAGGACAAGGGAGATCTGCACAGCAGGAGGGTTGGAGGGGGCCGGTCCAGAGAAGGAGAACACCCAGCAAATCCCTGGGGTGGGGGAGGGGACAGACTAAGAGTGGGAAGCCAGGGGAAGCAGGGTGGGGGGAAGGTGGGTCGAGATCACACAGGGTCTGAGGGAGCAAGTAGAGGAGAGGCAAGGAGCCAGTGAGGTCTCTGGGCAGGAGCCTGCCATGAGGTCAGTCCTTCAGCAAGGGAAGGGGCGAAGGGGGGCGAGGGGGAGGGGGGCCGACTGGAGGGCAGGGCTAAAGAAGGGAGGGAGCCCATTGTCCTGGTCCTAGGGCCAGGCTTGCAATGGCAGTGGCTCCCACCCCCACAACACCGTAGCCTCTGGCCCTTCCTCCCTTCCGAGGCCCCTGTGTTTCCCCTCGGCCCTCCCCAGTCCCGCCCTGGGCACCTAGAACCTAGAGCCCACCTTTGAGGTTGTCCAGTCCCACCTCCCCAGCTGACCTCCTAGGGAAGCTTGCTCAGCCCCTGCCGGGCCAGTCTGCTTCACAGGGAGCCAGCACGCCTCAGAGAGACCAGCCCTCCCAGGAGCCAGGCACTCCACCCTCTGCGAAGTTCTTCCACGGAGCCATACGCAGCAGAACCTCACCCCAAGCCTCGCTCCAAACCTAGTGGTCACCTATGCATCTAACCTGTCTGTGCAGCTCCAAGTTCACAGCCACAATGCTTCCTCTTTTCTCACCACTGCCATCGTCACCACGTGCTTGGCAACAACCTCACTGTGCCCGCACCATGTTCCCCTGCAGCCCAGTCTCATCCCTTACCCACTTTGGTCAGCCCAAGCCCAAGCCACTTTTAAGAAGAGCAAGCTTTCTTTCCTAAAAGTGTTTTGGAAGTGTGTTTGGACTAGATGCTATTCTAGAATTGCATCCACTAAGAATAACATCTGTTATTAGTTTCCACACACTCTCAGCTCTGAGCTCTGCCCACATCCTCACCCTGGGCCGGGAAGTAGTTACTGTGTCCATCTTAGAGATGAGAGAAGAGTGGCTCAAAGAAATTAGCTGCCTTCCCCAAGTCAGCAGCTGGTAAATGACTGAGCAGGGATGTGAGCCCAGGCTTCTCCGACCAGGCCAGGCTGCCTTCCCAAGTTGACAAGCCAATAATTCATTCAGCTCATCGCTCTCTCTGCCCTTCCTCCTGCACCTGGCTCTTGATCCTTGGGAACAGCTGGAAAAACTCATTCCCTGCTCCAGTCTCCCCTCTAACAGGATCTCTCAGAGGGGCTTGAGGCCTCTCTAATGTAACGAGGCTGCTGGTGAGAGTCCCAGACTGAGCCACTTCCCGCCCTAAGTGCCGAGAGGATGCCTCTCTCTGAGGGGCAGGCACCTTTCAATGTAAAGGCCTCATTTTATTGAATTAAATATTTTTCCCTGGAACAACCAATCCTGAGCTTCACTTGTGTTGTTCCCAATCTTCTTCTGCCACATGAATGGGCTGTCTTACTGAAACTTTCATGTCCAAACCCAAGACCACAAGGGATTGTTAGCTGTTTTACTTTTTTCGGTGATAAAGATACATCAGCACTGATTCTAAGAGCAAAATGTTCCACTTACATGGACACCAACAGGGTGGTGCTTAGTTGACTGTAGTGCGTCTGTGAGACCAAATACTAGGCAGCCACTTGGCATGGTACAGACCAGTTGGATCGGCAAGGAAAGCCGTCCCTGGCCCAGTGCGTGGAAAAGGGCTCTGACACGCTTGTGTTCTCTGAGCCCGCCTATGTAAAGACTCACACGCATACCCATACAGGTACATGCACAGAGTGAGCTCCCAGGGGAATGTGTGCCACGTATTAACGCCAGTTACCGCCACGCGGTGGGACTTGAGGTGACTTTATTTCTTTTTTATACTTTTCTGCACTCTTTGAATTTTTTTAAAAAAATCTATGTTTGTATAAGCCAACATTAACATTCAAGCTATTGAATTCTAAAATAAGAGTAATAGATGCACATTATTGAATTTTTTCGATTTCCTGAGGAATAAAGGGAAAAAAACTAAAATCACACATAAACTCATTGCCCAAAAGTAACACCTGTTAACATTCTGAAATATTTTCTCCCATGCCTGTTTCCTTTGGACACAATTTTTATATAGTAGAAATAATTCAATAAATATGTACTGAAGACTTACTATTTATAAGGGTTCTACAAGGTTCCGAAAACACGAGGATGCGTGAGACATAAGTGGTATGCACTCCTACAATGTCACACCGTTTGTCCCCCACTTGTGGCTTTGACTAGCTGTGAAGTGTCCCTTCATTTGGATAAATCAAGTTCCTAGGTAGTTCAGTGATCCGCTGTTACTGGAACACCTGGGCTGTTTTGATATTGTTCTATTACAAATATTATTGCATAAAGTTTTGTGGGCACGGAACTACTCAGTCAAAAGTCATGAACAAGTTGATGAGCTTTACAGTCATTCTCCCATTCCTTTTCATGGCAACCACAATTCATGACGCATTTGACTACAATAATTATTCATTTTACAGATGGCAACACTGAGGCTAATTCTTGTTTGAACAAGGCAGGACCCAACCAGGCACTCGGGAAACTCTGAGGATGAGATTCCATCAGGCAGGCAGGGGTGCAGTGTTGGGGGCTCCCATTGACACCCCTCTCTTCTGGCCCCTCTGCACTGTGCAGGCCCCACTGTGCAGACATGGGGACAAATTCCCTAGCCCACCATCAGTCGATTCCAGCCTCCTCCCCTGCCACACGCACTTCCTACACCTCACTCCACTCCCAATCAAGGGAAGACCTGGGACAGGCTGGCAGAAGAGGACAATATGCAGACAGCAGAGCAAATATAGCCCCTCAGGAGCCCCTGCTGGTGGCTTCTCAGCAAAAATGCCCAAGGAGGCCCAAGCCACCCCAGCCCCCCACGCCTGCCCCCGTCAGCCTCGCTCTCTAACCCCAGAGCTGAGTGCCTCCTCTCAGGGGACAGCCCTTGAGAAGGCAGGCTGCAAGGCTCATCAGGCCATCCCGTCTGAGGGCGACTGCTTAAGGAGGCTTTATCACACTTAGGGAGGCATTATCAGCACTTAGGCTGAAAAAATGACCTCCACTGCGTAGCGGGCCCTCTCCCCCTCTGCAGGGCGGCCCACCAGGATCAAGTTTCCAACCTGCACCAGCCACTTCCTCTCAGCCCTCAGCAGAGCCTGAGGAATGAGGCAAAGAGGTCGTTTTTCTCCAGCACCTAATTCCTCCAACAGGTGGTGTTTGTGTGTTGTCATGGTGATCACTCTCCAGCGGGCGGGGGAGATCCGTCTAGGAAAAATGGGAGAAGCTGCTGTGACCTTAAGACCTTTGCAGCCAAGCAGCCAAGTCAGAGGAGCCCTATGGAGCAGTTCCCAGCCTCATTCCTCAAGAAGAACACTGGACCTTGAGCTTCTTGCCACCAGAGCCCACACCCAGCACTTCTTATTAGGCACCTACGGTGTGCAGGCTCCGAGCCTCATGTCAAGCATGGTTCATCTCCTTGCACCCTCATAGTAACCTACAAGGCGAGTCATGGTCTCTCCATTGTGCTGGCAAGGAAACTAAGGCACAGACTGATGAAGTAATTTTCCCAGTGCCACACAGCCAAGAAGTGGTAGGACCAGGGTCAAAACCAGGCCGGTGTGATTCCATGTTCGTTCCCCACCTCCTGATGCCTCATGTCGATGGGCTCTGTCAAGCCCACCCCTCTCCCCACGTGCTCATGCCTTGGAGGGAGCTGAGAAACCACGTGGATGCTTTGGGTAGGAAACACTGGGGCCCTGTCATGAGACCGTGTGCTCTGCCTAAGGAGCAAGATCAGGGGAGCTTCCCAGCTGGCTGAGTAAAGTGCATTCTTAGTAGCTAAGAGCTTGGGCTTGGGAACTAAACTGCCCAGCCTCCAATTCTTGCTCTACCATTACTGGCTGTGTGACCTAAGGCACGGAGCTTAACTTCTCTGTGTCTCAGTTTCTACATTCATAAAATGAGTGTAATGGTATTACTTGCCTGTTTGATGTAAGGTGAGGTTTAAGTGAGTTTAGATTTTTAAAGCACCAAGAGCAGTGCTCTCTGAATCAGTATAACCTGCTGAGATTGTGTTTACTGTTGTTGTTGTCGTTGTTTTCCTCAAGGATGATGGCCCCACCAGGAGGCGGTGCCCAGGCTCAGCTGGGGCTGGGGCTGGCCTGCCAGGGCCGTGCGTGCGGAGCAGGAGGGACCGGCTACTCAGGCCCTGCAGGCCCCCAGATGCCAAGGCCCCAGGAAGACGCCCTAAGATAGTCTCTCTCTTCCAAGAGTGATGGGTCTGCAGCCATTCTTGTCTCCCAGGAGGAAATACACTAGGGTGGCAAATGACCCTGATTTCCATCAGCTCCTGTGCGGTACAAACCTGAGAGGGAAACC